AAAATAAAATAAAATAAAATAAAATAAAATAAAATAAAATAAAATAATAAATAAAATAAAATAATAAAATAAAATAATAATAAAATAAAATAAAATTACAAGGTGGTTCTGGAAGCATCAAATCCTCTCTGCCTAACCAATGGAAAAAACCCATCAAAATAATAATAGTTTATGGAAAAAATAATTTATTAAATTAATTTAAAATATAAGAAGAGACAAAGAAAAAAATGAAAAGAAATCATGTTCTGAGGCATTATATAAATTTCATAATTTTAAGGGACTGAAGATATTGCTAGAAGTAAAAGGAATGAATATAAAGCTGATTTATTCGATGAAGATTTATATATATGTATGTATGTATGTATGTATGTATGGTATTCAGCTTTGCTCGGGTATTTTCCCACGTCATTGTAGTTGTGCTTTTAAAGTTGTAGCAACGTTTCGGCAGAATTTCATCTGCCATCAGAAGCCTGATGATGGCAGATGAGATTCTGCCGAAACGTTGCTACAACTTTAAAAGCACAACTACAATGACGTGGGAAAATACCCGAGCAAAGCTGAATACCATACATGTAAGTACCCGCGAAAACTTAAGAAAACATACATACATACATACACACTGCTCAAAAAAATAAAGGGAACACTTAAACAACACAATGTAACTCCAAGTCAATCACACTTCTGTGAAATCAAACTGTCCACTTAGGTAGCAACACTGATTGGCAATCAATTTCACATGCTGTTGTGCAAATGGAATAGACAACAGGTGGAAAGCAGAGGCAGTTAGCAAGACATCCCCAATAAAGGAGTGGTTCTGCAGGCGGTGACCACAGACCACTTCTCAGTTCCTATGCTTTCTGGCTGATGGTTTGGTCACTTTTGAATGCTGGCAGTGCTTTCACTCTAGTGGTAGCATGAGACGGAGTCTACAACCCACACAAGTGGCTCATCCAGAATGGCACATCAATGCGAGCTGTGGCAAGAAGGTTTGCTGTGTCTGTCAGCGTAGTGTCCAGAGCATGGAGGCGCTACCAGGAGACAGGCCAGTACATCAGGAGACGTGGAGGAGGCTGTAGGAGGGCAACAACCCAGCATCAGGACCTCTGCCTTTGTGCAAGGAGGGACAGGAGGAGCACTGCCAGAGCTCTGCAAAATGACCTCCAGCGGGCCACAAATGTGCATGTGGCTGCTCAAACGGTCAGAAACAGACTCCATGAGGGTGGTATGAGGGCCCGACGTCCACAGGTGGGGGTTGTGCTTACAGCCCAACACTGTGCAGGATGTTTGGCATTTGCCAGAGAACACCAAGATTGGCAAATTCTCCACTGGCGCCCTGGGATCTTCACAGATGAAAACAGGTGCACACTGAGCACATGTGACAGACATGACAGGGTCTGGAGACACTGTGGAGAACATTCTGCTGCCTGCAACATCCTCCAGCATGACCGGTTTGGCAGTGGGTCAGTCATGGTGTGGGGTGGCATTTCTTTAGGGGGCCGCACAGCCCTCCATGTGCTCTCCAGAGGTAGCCTGACTGCCATTAGATACTGAGATGAGATCCTCAGACCCTTTGTGAGACCTGGTAGAGTTGGCCCTGGGTTCCTCCTAATGCAAGACAATGCTAGACCTCATGTGGCTGGAGTGTGTCAGCAGTTCCTGCAAGACGAAGGCATTGATGCTATGGACTGGCCCGCCCGTTCCCCAGACCTGAATCCAATTGAGCACATCTGGGACATCATGTCTCGCTCCATCCACCAATGCCACGTTGCACCACAGACTGTCCAGGAGTTGGGGGATGCTTTAGTCCAGGTGTGGGAGGAGATCCCTCAGGAGACCATCCACCACTTCATCAGGAGCATGCCCAGGCGTTGTAGGGAGGTCATACAGGCACGTGGAGGCCACACACACTACTGAGCCTCATTTTGACTTGTTTTAAGGACATTACATCAAAGTTGGATCAGCCTGTAGTGTTTTTTTCCACTTTAATTTTGAGTGTAACTCCAAATCCAGACCTCCATGGATTGCTAAATTATTTCATTCATTCAGATCTAGGATGTCTTATTTTTGTGTTCCCTTTATTTTTTTGAGCAGTGTATATATTTATTAGGCTATTGGATTTTTGCTGACATTATGATTGAAATATATTTATTTATTTGTAAAATTTATTCTCCCCCCCCCATCTTTCCCAGGGTAACAATCATAAAAGATAAAAACAGTACATGGTGATGTTTTATGGAATTGTTTATAGATAAAGACATGGGAGGTGGGAAGAAGAGATCATTGGCTGTATTTTAAGGGAAGGTGATAATTTACTATTGTTGCGATGAAAGTGGGAAACCTTTTATTTACGTATTTCTTTTTTTCCCCTTTACATTACTTTGCTTTCTTTTCTATTTGTCTTTCTCTTTTTTCCTTTTTTTTTCTTTTCTGCACCTTTCACTCTTTTAACTTTTTAAAACTTTGTATTAGTTTCAATTGGGCTTTTTTTGTCGCTTAATGACCCCATAATCCCTTGCATTGGGGTGGAGTCTGGGCAACTGAATGGAGCTGAGTGTTTACTGGCCAGATGCCCTTCCTGTCACCAATACTGCCATATATCAGCATATATATTCAGCAGATATATTCTCAGTGTGCCCAAAGAGAGAAATACCAGTCTCTACCTAGGATTGAACTCACAGCCTCCTGATTATGAGGCGAGAGCTTCACCACCAAGCTACTGCACCACTCATTAGTTTTGATCATATTTAATCATACTTTTTTCATAAAGTTACTATTAAAAAGGAGCATTGAACTTTCAGCAGAGCTGCTAATGCCTCTCACCTGCTTGGTATCCGTATTTGCAATGCTGAGGAGCAGGAGCAGCTCTCTGGCTCTTTCCAAAGGACGGAAGTCCCCACCTTGGGCAAAGCAGCGGAATTCTTCCCTTCGTCGAAAGACAGAGAGAAACTGGGGCAGAAGTGGGTCAGCTAAAATCTTTCCCTTATAGTGCTATTTAGGCTCATGTGCCGAACGTGCTGTTCTATTTCTGGCTAAGCTACTGTCAGAGGTGCCCCAGTCCGATTCCTTAGGAAAGAAAAGCCTTCGACTCCATTGGGTTAAAGCAAAGGGTTCTTTTATACTAAGAATGTTGGGTGCAGTAAAACCAAGCCAGCTCTGAAATCTACCGTGCAAAAATAAGTTGTAGGTGTCAACTCATAAAACATTCCTATGCCTGTTTCGAGTTGCCATAAACGGGCTGGGGATGGGGAATCTGAAGGAGCATTACTGCAATTTAAAACCAGAAGTACATTCCACCCTTATCTACAAAGATTGTAGCTTGGCTACCAGATCTTCCGCCCGTGAAAATCCTTCATTGGAGAATCCGATTGATGACACACCCAAGGGGGAGGGGAGAAACCAGGGTTACAGGTGACTGTGAATTAGTATGCCAGAGTTGGCTTGGTTTAGGCTACTGCCGGGCATGTTGCTCCTAAATCTTCCGAATTTTTTGGAAGCTTGGTTCGAGGCTCATGATTTAATTCTGGCAATCGCGGGAACCCTGACAGTAGGTTTGCCCCCATCCCATGCCTCCCCCCGTGACCGACCGACAGCCAGTCGGAGCTCGCCAAGATATTTGGAGAACTCTGAGATGTTTGGGGGTAAGCGGCATATTTCTCCGGGTGCCTGGCCATGGGATACTGGTACAAATAGCATCCGGCTACTCTGGTCCTTCTCGCCTGTCATTCCCCCGCTCCCAATTTCCTATCATGTACACACAAAGCTTTATTGTCCTTTCATCCTTCCCCTGCTTCTTCATTTGATGGCAGGATGCCTGTGAAGTGCCAAGCTGAAGCAGTCAGAGCTGACAGCAACTTTATGCCAAGCACAGAAGAAAGAGTGGGAAGGAATTAAAGGCAAAAAAGAGCTGAAGGAATTAAAGGCAAAAAAGAAAAGGAAAGGAAATAGAGCTAAAACTATTTTATACCAGCACCGTTCACCGTATTCAACCACCTTTCTTCTACCACGTGGAGACTCCCCTTCATGTGTTGTCTTCTCTTCAGGATTTCAACTCACCAGTCCCACCATGACTTTGCCATTCTTCTCCTTCCTCTTGGCCCATTCACCCTTCCTTCTATCAGCCTCGGTGGTGCAGTGGTTAGAGTGCAGTAGTGCAGGCTACTTCTGCTGACTGCCCGCTGCCTGCAGTTCAAATCCCACCAGGTTCAAGGTTGACTCAGCCTTCCAGCCTTCCGAGGTGGGTAAAATGAGGACCCAGATTGTTGGCTGACTCTGTAAACCGCTGAGAGAGGGCTGGAAAGCACTAGATAAATCTAAGGGCCATTGCTAGGTCCTCAGATGTGGCATGGCATGATTAGCCTCTTTATGGCAGAAGGAAGCCATATAGATATGGAGGTTTTCTCATTGCAGTGCCCAGAAACGAAAGCCATATAGCAGCCAGTGCTCCCAAATGTAGATTCCAGGGTTTTTCTTCTGTCCGTTCTGAGTCAAAGGCAACTCGGCCCTTCCCTTCATGGCCTTGAAAAGCACTTGATGGGTGTAGACCAAACTCTCTTGCTTGTAATTGGTTCCTACCCATCACCTCCACTCTTTCTGCCACCCACACTTGCTGAGTAGTCCTTTGTGCTCCCTTGGCGGTTTTCCTGCAGACATTTCATCACCCAAACTAGGTAACATCATCAGTGCAACCGGGCACAGAGAGCACAAAGGAGCTGTCAATTCAACCCTGGGCTACAAATATTCTCCTCTGCCGGTACTTTCTGAGTAGTCCATTCGGCTTCTCTGTCCTTCCTGACAGGTGCCCCTCTTCCATATAGCAGAGTCCCTGGATGGTGAGATGGCAGCTGTTTAAATAGGACACATAAACAAACAGGCAGACATGCGCTCTTGCCCCATTGGTACAGCCGGTGATGCTTCTTTCAGCAGAGTCTTGCGCCTTCACCTGGGCCTTTCCACTAACATTTATTTCATCATCATCCTCTTTTAACGACCCCATCATCCCTTGTGGGGTGGAGTCTGGGCAACTGAATGGAGCCGAGTGTTTACTGGCCAGATGCCCTTCCTGTCGCCAGTGCAGAGTTTTATTCAGCAGATATATTCTTAGTGTGCCCAGAGAGAGAAATATCTGCCTCTACCTAGGACCAAACTTACTTTGCCTGCTTTAAAATTGCTTTCCCCAGAGAAACTGAGAAGCCCAAATCCCACAAGGCCATGTGCTTCATAATGTGCTTACGTGCTATTTCAATTCTGGGGCTGGTTAATGCCATTTTTGGTCCTGGATTCCTAGGCCAGCAGCCCCCCAGTAGCCTTCTGTCTTCTCTCCTCAACTTTCAGAATAAAGAGGGATCTCCAGTCTCTCCCCCATTGAACTTGTGAATCAGCAAAGCCCAAAGGGCATCAGGGGAGTCAGGGCAAAGCCTGCGTCTCTTCCAGGGCCGGAGGGTTTTCTCCAGTTCTCTAGCGGAACGGAAGACACCGGCCCAGACACTCTGCTGGTTTGTGGTCCTGGGGCTTTGGGGCTCCACATAAGTCAACATCTCTGCAGCTCGGGCTCTTTCGAAATTTTATTAAGATTTGCCATGTTAATCTTCAAACAAGTAAAGCTTGTGACGCAGCTTGCCTTAATTCCACTCAGTGCCTTTTATGTGATCCCTTTTTCTTACTAAAAAAAAAAAGGCATAATTTTTTAAATGTCATAATTGATGCTCAGCTGCTCCTTGGAAACGGTCGAGTGAATGCTGCAATCCCCTCTGCAAACCAATTTGCACGCGAGGAATTAGAAGTGGCTAATTAGAGCATAATTATAATGTAGCATGTCAGTTCCCTTCATCCGTCAATGGAAAGCACGTGCGCTTTTCATACAATTATGATGCTGCTCAGAGGTAGAAAATAGAAGAACCATCCCTGCTGCTCGAAAGCCGACCCATCTCTGGGACAGACCAGGCTGGGGCAACCGTCCTCACTCGCTTGTTGGTCTTCCGGCTTGAAAATCGTCTCTGTCTCTGACAAATTTCCACTGCAACCTGCCATTTAATTTGTCTCATGTTCAGATCAAACCTTAAATTGTGAAAACAAGCCCACCCTTTTGGCTTTATCGTTGGCCAGAAAGAAATCACTTTTGGCGCATTCTACTGGTAGTAATCAACAGACCAGCACATTGGCCAGGCTCTGCATTCCTTCACATCCGCATGGTGTTTCGTTATCCACAGCAACCTCCATTGAGCATATTACAGTCACACTTAGGCCCACCCACCCTCAGCCTCTTCTTGGTCTTCCAAATGTCATAGGTCAGATCCCTCATCCAGGTTCTCTTCGGGGGTTACGGGAACCTGCTGCTGCTTTGCATTCTCTGCCGCTCTCCTTTTGGGAGGGTGTCAGGGTAATGATGTAAGAGCTGACCAGCAGCTACGATAATGTAATGCTGGGAACGAGTCAGCAAGGTTTGGGGGCTGATATCACTTTAAGAGCCTGTAATAAGAAGAGGCCCAGTTGTGGTGTGTATCTCTCTCCATGCGTGCTTCATTGCTGTAATTGCTCATTGCTGTTTGTTTGAGGTTTGACTAAAGTACGTATATGTATATATTCTTTGTAGATAAAACCACTATTTAAATACAAACCTCTGTTTACTTCTATTTGCTGCTGGGTTGTCCCACATAGACACACTCTGCACACTCTGACAGGGGGTTTAAAAGAACTTGATTTTTTTCTTTGGAATTCCCTGGCCAGATTGTTCCGGCCCTTCCTTCCAAATACCTACGAGGGGGCGCCGTCAGGCAAATACAATTTAATGCGAACCAGTTGATTAAGTCTCCCTCTTATCTGGAGATAATTTTGGGCATCTTGCCTGGTGCCGTGTCAAGAAAGGTATCAAGTCTTATCAAAAACATGTGTGGTAGAATCCTGCAACTACTGTCTACAGAAGATGTTTCATTCCCAGTGTCAGAAGAGGGATTCTGTCTAAATGACAAAAGTGTGTCTCTTAAGTTCCCAAGTGTTGCATTTCCCGACCCACAGCAGAAATGGCAAAGGGACAGAGAAGCATTTCAGGGGTGTATTTCAGGGGTGGTCAGGAAACCGAGGATCTCGCGGGGAGAGCTGTGGGGATGAGAGCAGTTTGGCTGGCAGGAGGCAGGACTGATCCCAGCTGCTCCTGGTTCATCCTGTTTCCACCTTTCCTTGACCGTCTAGTGCAGAGGGCTGGGTCGGCGTTGTAGTTCTTCTCTGCAGGCCGGGTGGGGGTGGGGGAGACAGGACGGACGCCTCTTGCAGCACCCTGCTGGCCAAAACGGGGCAAGGGGGGGCCCCTCGTGGACCGGTCCTTTGTTATTTCCAGGCTGGCCCGTGGGCCACAGGTGGGATCCGGCCCCACAGGCCTTGAGTGTGACACCCCTGATCTAGTGTCAAAGATCTGCTCTGAATCCTGCTCATCATACTTTGCTCCTTCCACAGGACTCTCCTTCCTGGCTTAGACTGGGGGATGAGGGGCAGCATCTGCTTGAAATTAGCCAACTCCTTTTGCCAATAAGGTTCACAAGCTTCCCTCATGCTTGTTGCTTCCCACAGTGGATGCGCTCTGATGATTTGCAGGCCACAACCTGCTCGCCGAGCACCACGGATATCATGCTGCAAGAAGGAGCTCCTTGTTCTTCGGTAGCCCAACTCAGGAGTGGACAGCAGCCGGACTTGGTCCCAGATAAATCTGGCCCAGAATTGAATTGCATTTCAAAGCCTGCAATTCGGATACCTGGATTTGTCCCAAATTTGGGCTTCTTTCTACAGAAAGCCTTAGTGGTTTAGTTCATTAGGACTTTAAATTAGAACAGACTTCTGATTGCATGGAGAGAATTTATCAGTTTTAATTTCATTTAGCAATTCAGGTTGTACAATCTGCTGCTCCTCACATTTGTATTCTGCCTAGAATCAAAGAGGCATTTTAGGGTTTTTTTAAATAGGCAGTATAAAAATATATGCATATAAAAGAATATCTGCAATTACTTAATGAAATATCAAAAATCCAAGGATACTTTAAATCTTTTAAAACCCCTTCTTTATTCATCCGATTCTATTTTTTTCTACTGCTTTATCCTCCTTGGGGGTTTTTCCCGCCTTTTCTGTTTATATCTTTTCTCATATGGTGTTCAGCAAAATGTAGTTTTGAAACTCAGCCAAAGGCAAAGAAAGGGGAAAGGCCAGTCCATTTCTTAGGAGCTGTGGCCTGCCAGGGCCTGGGTGGGACCCCGGGCGTCAGGGGTTGTGGCATCCAAGCAGGCAGACAGCGCAGGTCTGGGGGGAACACAGGTGAGGTCTTTCTGCCCAGGGTGACCCTCACTGCTGCAGTCAGGTGGGTCCTGGGGCAGGATGGCCACATGGGCCGCTTGGCCTTGGACAGTCTGTCCTCAACCACTAGAGAGGGTTGCTGTTCCAGGGGTGTCAAACTCGATTTCATTGAGGGCCACACCAGGGTTGTGCTTGAGCTCAGCGGGCCGGGGTGGTGTGGGGGTGGTCGGGGGCTTGGCAAGAGTGGGCATGGCTAGCTCGAAGTCACTCGTTGAGGCTCCATGTCAACTCATAAAATATTTCTATGGTCTTTTTAGAGTTGCCAACAGAAAGGGAGGGGAGAGCAGTGCGACAGCTTGCAAACCAAAATGCTTTCAAAGATAGTTTCTAGGTGACTGAAGTTTCTGCCACACAAATATCTAACTGGAGAGCATGATTGATGACTCTGGGCTGTGGATGTGTCCCATTGGAGAATATGAATTACGATACACCTAGGGGGTGGGGAAAAACCAGGGTCAAGGGTGACCATGAATGATGCGTCTCAGAGTCGGCTACACCCAGGCAGTGCCGGACATGGTAACTCCCAATAAATCCTTTTGAAGTTTTGGAAGTTTGGCTGGAGACTCATGATTTAAATGGGGGTAACTGCCGGAATCCTGACAGCTAGCTGAGACATCCTGACACTCCGTTTTCCTGCCTCCGGCAGCCCTCTGCCAGCGAAAATGGAGTGCGCAGCTGTCATGGCCAAAAACGGAGCCCTGGAGGGCCTTGCGTGCCCCCCACGAGCTCCGTTTTCATTGGCAGAGGCCCCACAGGCTGACCCTTCGCTGCTTCCAGGGTGGCTACATGGGCCGGATCTAAGCACCCTGCGGACCGGATCCGGCCCCCAGGCCTTGAGTTGGACACCCCTGGTCCAGGCGGACATTGGAGATGGGGTGGGGGTGGGGTCAGAGACAAAGGTGGGCTTCAGGTCTGTCCTTTGCTGCTCTCCTTTCAAGGAATGTACCCTGAAGGTCCAGGAGGGGAAGTTCAAGCTCCAAGATCTGCTGGTGGTGCCGATGCAGAGAGTCCTGAAGTATCACCTCCTGCTCAAAGTGAGTCATTTTCCACCTTCCAGAGGGATGGAAAACACAGACACATTTCTGGAGGGGGCAGGTGGGCTTCAGTCAGTCAGAGCATCCCAGGTCAGGATTACAGAACTGGAAGGGGTCTTGGAGGTCTTCTAGTCCACCACCACCACCACCACCCCCGCTCGAGCAGGAGACCTTATACCATTCCAGACAAATGGCTCTTCAATCATCATCATCCTTTAATGACCCCATAATCCCTTGCATTGGGGTGGAGTCTGGGCAACTGAATGGAGCTAGCAGAGCGTTTAATGGCCTGATGCCCTTCCTGTCACCAATACGGAGTTTTGTTCAGCAGATATATTCTCATTGTGCCCAGATCTACAGGAATCTGGATCTCTACCTAGGACCGAACTCACAGCCTTCTGATTGGGAGGCGAGCAGAGGTGGGATTCTACCAGTTCCGTACACTTCTGTAGAACCGGTTGCTCTGAAAAGCAGCAAACAGAAAGCATACATAGAACCGGTTCTAAGTCTGCTGCTGTTTTGGCTCACCCACCAGTCTGGGCTCTTACCTGACCTCTGTTTCCTGTGTTTTCAACCGCAGCTGCTTTGCGTGAAAACAGCTGCGGTTGAAAAAGCAGGAAAAAATGCTTTTTCAACCGCTGTGCACCCGCGCGCAGTGCTGCTCAGCTGTCCAGGCAGCTAGCTGACGACGATACACACGTGCACGCAGCGCATTACTGAACCGGTAGTTACACCGGTTGGATCCCACCCCTGGAGGCGAGAGCTCCACCTCTAGGCCACCACACCACTCACAAATGGCACTTCAATCTTTGCTTAAAAACCTCCAGCGATTGAGCAGCCACAACTTCTGGAAGCCATTCCACTGATTGATTGTTCTTAATGTCAGGAAGTTCTCGATTGGATCTCTATTTGATTAGTTGCCACCTGTTGCTTCTTGTCCTGCCTTCAGATGCTTTGGAAAATGGGAGCTGCAGCAGACTCCTGGCTCATACCGAACTAGGTATCCACAAGGACACCTAGATTGCTCTCAGAGTTACTGTTGTTGAGCTAGGTTCTGTACCTGTGTTAAAACCTTAACATTTCTCACCACTGAAATGCATTTTGTTGGATAGGGCCCAGTGTTCAAATCTGTCAAGATCCTTCTGTATTTGGAGCCTATCTTCTGGAGTGTTGGCTATTCCTGCCAGCTTGGTGTCATCTGCAGATTTGATGACTTCCCTTTCTATCCTCTGATCTAAATCATTTATGAAGATCAATATCAAGAGTATTGGGCCTAAGGCAGAACCTTGGGTACCCCACTGCTTCCTTCTCTCCATGTAGATAGATGTAGCTCCATTGAGGACTACATGCTGAGTGCCGTTGGTCTACCAGTTAAGAATCCATCTGGTGTTGATGCTGTCTATCCCACAGTTTTAGACCTTGCCAAGAAGTAGGCTGTGGTCTGCTTTGTCAAACGCCTCACTGAAGTCCAAGTAAATTACGTAGACATCGTTCTGCTGGTCACTTCGTCATTTGGTCAAAGAATGCACTCATGTTTGTCTGGCATGATCTGGTTTTGGCTCCTACAACATAACAGATTGGGACATCTCCTAAATGCCGACTCCAGTTGGGTTGGTAGAACCAAGAGCCAGGCCCAGGCTGCCCATGTGCCTCCTGGAGCCCAGATGAGATCCGGAGGCTCTGCCTTGGGTGGGGGGTGTCCCCAGCTGACCAGGGAGTCTTTCAGACAACTTCAGCGTGGGCCACCTCTGGCTCTGCTTGTGCCCCCTTGCCCAGGATTCTCCCCTGTGCAAATGCTTTTGGTTCCACCCAGAAATTAATCATGCAATTATTCTCACAAACCTTGATTAATTCTGGCATGTTTGTTCAAGCTTAGACCAAATCATCTGATCCTGCATGTGTTGCCCCACCCCCACCCCACCCCCGCCTGCCAGCCATTATTCTTGGGACAAGCAACTCCAACCCTTGCCCCAAAGGTGCTTTTTTCAAGAGGCAACTGGACTTCCTGGTTTTTCTTTGAAGATGTTTCGCTTCTCATCCAAGAAGCTTCTTCAGCTCTGACTGGATGGTGGGGAAGGGAAGGATTTATACTCCTTGCAGACAGCTGGTCATTTGCATCCTTTTTAGAGAGACGTTGAGGCCGCTTGGGGTTTTCTCTGTGTCCTCAGGGTCACCTGAGTGGAGCAAACGGGTGTGGAGCCTTCTTGGAACTGTTGTAGACTGGAGATAGAGGATGGCATATCCCTCCCCCTCTCAGGTGACCCTGCACCACTCAGGTGACCCTGACAACACAGATAAACCTCCAGATGACCTCAATGACTCTCTGAAAAGGATGCAAATGACCAGCTGTCTGCAAGGAATATAAATCCTTCCATTCCCCACTTTTTCTTGGATGAGAAGCGAAACGTCTTGAAAGAAAAACAAGGAAGAGTCCAGTTGCCAGTTGACAAAAAGCCCCTTTGGGGCAACCCTGACCTGGATGGCTGAGGACTCCATAGACAACTCCACCCCTTGTTCCTTGGCAGGGCCTCTCCTGCCACCCACTCCAGTGGCCTTGAACCCCTCGTATGGCGAGGTGGAGCAGGAAGCAGCCAGGCAGGCAGTGGATACAGTAACCCAGGATGATGGTTTGTCTTCTAGGAGCTGCTCAGCCACTCGTCCGACCGGCCAGAGAAGCAGCAGCTGAAGGAAGCGTTGGAGGCCATGCAGGTGGGGTCCCGTGGAAGGTCTTTTGGGGGGGGGGGGCATAGCCTGGTCTCTGAGAAAGGACTGCTCCCCAAGCCCCGCCCTTCACCCCAGCTTTGCTCAGCCTGGCTTGGCTGTGCTCTGCTTCTGCCCCCTCTGGGGGGGGGGCGGGGGGGCTGGGAATGGCACAGGCGCCCTGATGCTGTCGGGCGAGCGAGGCTGAGCCCAGAAGCAGACCCATCTTTCTCCCCTCGGAGCGGATCCTTGCCTGGCGCTTTCGGCTTGCGATGCCGCTGACTGGCCCCCTTCTTCGCCTTTCAGGACTTGGCCATGTTCATCAATGAAGTCAAACGGGACAAAGAAACCTTGAAGAAAATAAGCGAATTCCAGAGCTCCATCGAAAACCTGGTAAGGGCAAAGGAGCCGCGTGGGCTCTGAGTGACAAGAGAGCCCCCCCCCCCCCGGTCCCCTGTCCACTCCGGAAGCCCCGGTGGTTCTGGCCGTCCTGGTGGCTCCTCGGTCAAGAGATTGGGCCTCCCGTAATGGCTGCTGTGGCGATTGCAAACTACCTTAGGCAGCCGAAGGGCACCGACAGTGCCAACCGGAGCAGGCTCCAGAGCTGGGCAGTCCCCACTCTGGGCTGTGCAACAAGGGGCCTAGCGCTGCCCCAGTGAGGGAGGGTCACAGCTGTTGAGCGAGGGCTTTGATGCCTGAGACCCTGGCAGGCCAAAAGGGATCGCTGGGCTCAGGCAGGTGGGCATGGGAGGATGCCTCGGGGGGGGGGGCCACCCCCCAGGGGGAAGGGGGCCCCCCCCCCCCCCCCCCCCCGCTCTCTGGTCTCGCCCAGATGTTAGTTTGCCTGCTCACAGGTCCCCAGACCTGGATCCCACCCAGGAAGGGGCTTCACTGCCATCTAACCCCCAAAGTGCCCAGTTTCCCCCCTTTTCTTTCTCTGGCAGCTGAGGGGCCACTTTGGAGTCTTCGGGGTTAGTGGGCATTTGGCCCTTTTAACCTTTGTCCCCTTTTCCCACAGCCGGTGAAGCTGGAAGAGTACGGGCGGCCAAAGATCGACGGGGAGCTGAAGGTCCGGTCCATCATCAACCACACAAAGCAGGATCGGTGAGTCAGCCAAGCAGGAAAAGCCTCCGGCTGAGCAGAGACCCCTGAGGGCCACACTGGTGCAGGTGGCTGAGTTCCCAGGACACGCTGGGTTGAGCGGGTTGCCTTCCAGAGGCAGGAACCCCACCCATGGCAGCCCATTCAGCAAACCAGGGAGGGTTAGCATCATGTATGAAGGCAATGTCCTTCCTTCCTTCCTTCCTCCCTTCCTTCCCTCTCTCCTTCCCTGTTTTTCATCTTTTTTCTTTCTCTTTCTCCACCCTTCTTCCTCCCTCCCTCTTTCCCTCCCTTTCCTTCCCTCCCTTCCTTTCTCTTTCCTTCCTCCCTCTTTCCCTCTTTCTCATCTTTTTTCCTTCTCTTTCTCCTCCCTCCCTCCCTCCCTTCCCCTCCCTCAGTCCTGGCAGATGCAGATTCCACTTTTGTGCATTTGCCCCCTGGGTTCCAGCACCCGGAGTGGGGAGGGTCCAGCTCCCCTTGTGCCAGGCCCTCCTGTCCTCTCCTTCCCCAGGACCCCCTTTCCCTGCTAGAGAGCAGCAGCAGCAGCAGCAAGGCAAGGGAGCCCAGGGCTGTCCTTATCTGCCGGACGAGGAGCCCACCCGTTGGCCTCTTCAGCAGCTGCCCTCCTCCTGGAAGGGGTTCAAGTTGGGGGCTTGAGGAGACGGACTCTCTGCCTCCCCTTCCTGCATTAACAGGGAAGAGCCTGGCCTTGGCTCATCTCCCCCCCGCCCAAAAAAAAGCTGGACTAAGGCAAAAGGCTGGCGCTTCCTGGACTCCCCGTCCTTCTTGGGGACCACTTAGAGCAGGGGTGGGCAAACTTTTTGGCTCGGGGGCCGCATTGACTTTTAAAATTTGACAGACGGGCCGGGTCAGCACAAGATTTTTTGGGAATCGCCCCACCCCACCCTTCCCCCCCTTCTCCTCCTTCCCCTCCCCTCGGAGGCCCCCTGAGTCAGAAGTTGCTACCGCCGGCGCGGCTCCGCGCGGCTCCAGTCCCGCGTTGCCTCGGGAAGGGAAAGGCAAAAAGGAAGAGCCGTGGCGGTGCTTTGCAACGGCAGCAGCAGCACCGGAGGCTCAGGCTCAGCGGCTCCTGGTTTTGCCTTTTCCTTCCCAAGGCAACGCGGGACTGGAGCCACGCGGAGCTGCGCCGGCGGTAGCAACTCCTGACAGCCCCAGCCGGACACCTGAGCGGAGCCCGGGCGGAACTGCCTGTTGCTGCTGCCGGAGCACCGCCGGGTCGCCTCCTCCAAGCAGCCCGCCCGCCCGCCGGGCTTCCCCTCCACCACGCGGCTTGGGGCCAGGCGCGAGCGCCCGCGAGTTAAAAGGAAGCCGAAAGTTGCTGGGAAGTTGCTCGGGTTTCCAGGGCTTCCAGGCTTAAACTTTGCACAGGCAAAGTTTGCAGGCGGGAGCGTCTTCCCGCCGAGGAGCAGGAAGGGTTCCGCCCGGCGGGCGGGCAGGCGGGCTGCTTGGAGGAGGCGACCCGGTGGTGCTCTGGGTTTCCCCTCCGCCGCGCGGCTCGGGGCCAGGCGCGAGCGCTCGCGAGGAAAAAGGAAGCCGCAAGTTGCTGGGAAGTTGCTCGGATGCTGGGAGCAGGCTTTTAAAGTGCCGCCCGAGCAGGACCGCCGAGCCGGGAAACGGGGCACCAAGGCAGGGCAAGGCTCCACCAGCAGCTGCCTAGCTTTAGGTGGCTCCAAGCAGCCCGCCCGCCCGCCGGGCGGAACCCTTCCCGCTCCTCGGCCGGAAGATGCTCCCGCCTGCAAACTTTGCCTTTGCAAAGTTTAAGCCTGGAAGGCCCGGAAAAAAAAGGGGGATCGGCGGGGACTCACCTTCGGAGAGGTCGCACTCGAAGGTGATTTCGAACTCCCAGCCGAGGCCTTTGCAAAGTTCTTCTTTTCCTTCCTACCCCGAGAGCGCTCCGCACTGTTTTGCAGCTTTGGGGGCCACGCAGCGCAGGGCAATACGCCACGCCCAGTTATTTTTTTTCAGGGGCAGGCCGGATTGGACAGACCAACGGGCCGGATGTGGCCCGCGGGCCGTAGTTTGCCCACCCCTGACTTAGAGGGTGACGGCTGCCCTTGGCACCAGCCATGTGCCAAGGCCCCCAGGGGTTCCTGGCCCTGCCCTGAGCCCCATGGCAGGTGGTGGAAATGGCTTTTAAAGGGGCCCCAGGAAGAGATGGGGAGGAGGGATTTTGGGGGGTCTGGACTCCCAGGGAGCCAATTGCAACTTCTTGGGGCCAGAACCTGGCCACACCGGCCAGAGATGATAAATCCCCTGGACCAAGAGCTGCCCCTCTTTGGCTGGCATGGTTCTCCGAGGAAGGGGGGGGGAGGATGGGAGCCCCTTCCCCAAGGCCTGAGGGAGAGGAAATGTGCAGACATGGTTGCTGAGGTTTCCTCTTCTGATTCTGGGACAGGTATTTGTTTTTGTTTGATAAAGTGGTGATTGTCTGCAAAAGGAAAGGCTACAGCTACGAGCAGAAAGACATCCTGGAGCTGCTCTGTTACAAGATGACCGATGACCCCACCAACAACAAGGACATCAAGAAGGTGGGCACCTCCCTCCCCTCCCCCTCTTTTTCTCCCTTCCCTTCATGGCCAGGAGGGAGAGCTCTAGCCACGAGAAGCACATTTGGCGCCCCAAAAGGACTGGGATGCTCAGGCTGCCCAGGGCCTGGAGGCTGCTGGCTTCCCCACTCTCCAGGGGGCAGGGGGTGTCCTGCTGCGTGGGCCCTTTAGAGAAATCACAGTTCCATCACTGGGGGGGGGGGGTTTGCCGGGATGCCTGTGTCCTTTGGCAATGGCCTGTCTCGTGCACATTCGCCACAAGGAGAAACCTCTTTTCCGGTCAGCTGCCAACAAGGGTTCCCACGTGGAGAGTAGCTGCTTGGAGCGATGTGTGGATGGACGACGGAGGGCTCAGGAAACCCAGCCCCTCTTTTTTGCCTGTTTTCTTCCCTGCATGAAGGAACCCCTGTTTTTCTAGGGGGCTTAGTGGGTGGAGCCCCCGCCCCCCACGCTCTGGAGGTGCAGATCCAGAAAGAGGGCCCTCCCGCTCACTCCCTGAACATCTGGCCCACATGGGGGCTGTGGGGATGGGGAGAAAGGGTGCCCCTTGTTTTAGAGTCTGAACAGGTGGGATTTGGAGCTTGTGGTAACCAACTGTGTCTCCCCTTCGCTTCCTTTTTTGCTTCTCAGTCGCATGGGAAAATGGTGAGCTGTCTCTACCGATTCCGACTCTCTTTGCCTTTTGCTGCTGCTGTAATAATACTGGATGAGGCTGAATGGGCATCGTCCAGGGGGCTGCATGGGGGGGGGGCTGCAGTTAGTGCAGGAAGGCTTACAAGCAGCCCTGTGAGGTGGGCTTGCCTGACAAGGGCGAGTGGAGCAGAGAGGGCGAAAGCCTCTTTGAAGGCGAGGCAGCCTCCTCCTGGGCTCCTGGCAGCCTCTTTCATGCTGCTGGCAAAGAGAAGGAAGATGCACCCTGCCAGCCTCTGCTTCTGCCCTCTCAGAGCCAGCACCGAATTCCCAGTCCTTGTGGCCCGGAACGGAGGGCAGCTGGCCAAGCTTGATGCCTCTGGTGCTGCGACTTGGCCACCCAAGGGTGCCTCTTAAGGGTGGGGCAGTGGCTTCCACACCCACACCCCGGCCCTCCCTGGCCTGCACCGGCCTTGGGTTTCTCCTGCCTCTGCGTCCAGCTCCATCCTCTCCCTCTCTCTTTCCCCACAGTGGTCTTATGGCTTCTACCTCACTCACCTTCAAGGCAAGCAGGGGTTCCAGTTCTTTTGCAAGACGGAAGAGATGAAACGGAAGTGGATGGAGCAGTTTGAAATGGCCATGTGAGTGTCCGGGCCCAGGCCGAAAGGCTGAATGGTCAAGAAGCCAGCAGGCATGGCCGGCTCCGGCTGGCAGTCTGACCCAGGCGTTGGCACAGGGGATGCATGGGCAGGACTAAGTTGTGCCGTGTGGCCTGGCCCTGAGCCTCAAAGGGGCCCCTCGGTGTAAAGGGGACCCTCTTCACACGACCTGAACTGAATGGGGCTCCTTTTCTTTGCCCAGATCCAACATCAAGCCCGAGAAAGCCACGGCGAACAACCACCAGTTCCAGATGTTCACCTTTGACAAGACCACCAACTGCAAAGCCTGCAAGATGTTTCTAAGGTGAGTGTTCTTCCTTCTTCAGGCACCCACAGACTCCTCCGATGGTGCTGCTCATTTTACTGTAAAGCTGCATGATTACGAAAAGGCTGGCAGCCGCAGTGCCACAGGCAGCCTGGCAGCCGTGCAGCTCTGGGGCTTCTAGGCACACCAAAGCAGGGGAAGTCTTGGCCCGAGCAGCCCCTGGGCTGCCATATGGCAAACGGCACCTGCTTTGGAGCCCACCTCTTCCAGGGCCCCACCAGCAGCTCCCCGAATGCAAAGCACCCTGGGTTGCTGGTCAGGGTCCACGACGGCCACAGCTCTGCCCCCTCCCAAGAGCCACGCCTGTGTGGGCTGCCACAGAACTGATTCTCAGTGCCCCCCAGACCAAGCGGAGAGTTTCTGCCTGGATTCTCCCCTCCACCCCAGAAATCTGGTGGGCCTCCCATGCGCCCAGGTTCGAGGGGGTGTCTCCGCACTCTGATGTCACCAGCCTGTTCCCATGGTGTCTCCCCATGCATGGCCAGCACGCTAAGCCCAGGGAGAGGGATGCAGGCAAGGACCAGAGGGAAAGGCAGCTGGGGGGCAGCAGGAGGGTTGGGGTGAGGAAATGGGGCCGTTGAAAGTTTGAGGATCAGTCATGCCCAGCTTTTTTCACTGCCGTTGTAACTTTGATTAACCGGCACTCATCAAGGTCTGCCTGCCTATTTAAATGATCCAGAGCTGGAAGGGATTTGGGGGGACCACCTGCTCCAGCCCAGTGCATTCCCTCGGCCCCTCTCCCTCTAAATGCCCAGTGGGGGTATTTCTGCCCAGGACCCTTCGTGGGCTGGTGAGAGTGCGATAGCCACGCCTGGTGTGGGGACTGGCAAGGCCCCTCATGCAGAGCCAAAGTGCCCCAGGATACAGACCCCCCCCAGGTGACTTCTCACCTGGCACCCAATTGGGTTGAAGGCCACCCTCCGGCCATTTGAGCTTAGGCAGACACGGGGGTGCAGAGCAACCCAGAAAACGGCTTTGTTTGGTAGCCGTTTGGGGCAAGGTCAGCCGTGACCCAGCAGCGGCTCAGGGCTTTCTTCCCTGGCTGGCCTCAGTGGAGGGTCTCCTTCTTGGCTCTGGGCCCCCAGTGTCAGGGCTGCCTTCGATGGGGGTGGGCTCAGCCCCAGCCCAGAATCCGAGCGGGAGGGCTTCCCTGCGTCTGAGGAGATCAGGGAGCCTCCCTTGGGCCTGCTCCATGGGGCTCCCCAGGGGTGCCACCTGCTGGACGGAGGGTGCCCCCCAGGGTTCAGCTCTAGGCAGGCAGGCAGGCTGGGCTAGCAGCCTCTCTTTCCACAGGGGAACCTTCTACCAAGGCTACCAGTGCCTGAAGTGCAAGGCGGGCGCCCACAAGGAGTGCCTGGAGGTCATCCCACCCTGTAAATTCAGTAAGTGATCCACGCATACGGCGGCATCCTCCCCATCGTATCTTGCTGAACTGCCCTCTAGCCCAGAAAACAGGGCAGGGCTGTGCCTGCTGCCAAGGAGTCTGTTGTGCTGGTGTCCCCAGGTGAAGCAGAGAGCCTGGGCTGACCACTCCACTGCCCCAGGAAAGTCTGGTGGGCCTTCCATGGGGACAGGCTCTCCAAACCAGCACACGTTTCCCTGCAATGAAAGGGGTGGTTCATGAGCCGCGGTGGCGCAGTGGTCAGAGTGTTTAGGACTGCAGGCTCCTTCTGCTGACTGCCGACTGCCAGCAATTTGGCAGTTCAGATCTCCCCAGGCTCCAGATTGACTCAGCCTTCCGTCCTTCCGAGGTGGGTAAAATGAGGACCCAGATTGTTGGGGGCAAAAGGCTGACTCTGTAAACCGCTGAGAGGGGGCTGGAAAGCACTGTGGAGCGGTATATAAGTGCTATTGCTAGGTGAGAAGGGAGGGAAGGAGGGTGGGAGGCAGATGAAGGGAGGAAGGAAGGATGGATGGAAGGAAGGAAGGAAGGAAGGGAGGGAGGGAGGGAGGGAGGGAGGGAGGGAGGGAGG